CAATTGTATTATTATTGTTATATTTATAAATTGTTGTAAGCCGAAAATAATAGTATATAGATATAGACAAATACATTCCATAGACACATTTAATGTGTTTTGAAAATAGTTTTAAAGAATTTTAATATTTTTTTTATAAAAAAGGACCAACATTAAATCATAACCATATCGAGCGATATGTGGGGGATATGTCGATAAGCTTAGCCTTATGGCTAATGAGATTATATACACTTTGCTACGACACAAATGTGTCTCACCATTATTTGGGCCTGTCTGGGTGCTTGAAAAAAATGTTATTTATAAAACCACGTCTGTGTTGGTTGCTTGAAAAAATATTATTTTTTAATTCAAGTACAGGCCTTTATGGCATATTACATTCGATTATTGTTTAATTTATTCCGAAGATTTGAGGAATGAAAAATTATGATGAAACTTATGTAACTATTACTTGAATATAAGCCACAGAATATATTCCCAATGGTCCAACTAGAAAAAGACTATTCTAAGCTATGTACCCCGTATGAATTTTAAAAATATAATAAAATGAATAAAATATCTTAAAGAGTTCCAGAGTTATTAACAATCACCCTACATATGTTTTAAAAAAATATTTTCAGTCTTTTTCTAACCAGGAATACGCAATAAAATTAGAAAGACAATTCAAAATTTTCTAAAGAGATATTTGTCGCCTTCTATTAACCTGGAATGCCGAATTAGAAAATGTTGATTAGACCTTCACACTGAGAAAAATAAGCAGAATTGGGCTTATATCGAAAAATTTATTAAAAATTGCTCACCCTCTAGGAAATTGGTATGCCAAATTACATCCTTTTCATACAAAAATTAGGCGGGACATTGATATATGTCCAAACATGGACATATCCATAGCCGATATTGAATATTTTCGGCAAATATGCAATTCACTCGTAGGGTACGATAGGTACCAGGCAACGGCTCTGACTGGCTTTAACATGGGGAAGCCTAGGCTTATCTTATAATTTGCTAGATGATTTTAATGCAAAAATCGGAAGGCAAAATATTTTTGGTCCCACCTTCGGAAAATTCAACCACCATTAAGAAGCATCCGACAACATGAGGTTGATTGATAAAGCAAAAAACGTGGTAGTTAACAGCACCAGACGTAATGCGATGTAGAATTGTCGGGAGAAAATGAGAGAGGAGAAACGTATTTTCAGAAAAAAATAAAGAACAAGAAAAACGGGAGCGTGAGCAAATCGAGATGTACAGGAATCAGAATGAAGTCGTAAATTTTATCAACGAGTAAAACACCAAACCGAAGGCATCCTCTTGTAGATATGAAGATGAAAACCAGGTGACAGATACAGATAGCGTTTAAGGATCTGGAAGGAGCATTTTTGAAAGCTTCTGGTATGAAATATTGGCGGCCAATGAGAGATGACGGTATAGAGTGTATGCCACCTAGCTAAGATGAGGTAGCAATTAATCTGCTGAAGAATAATAAAGCAGCAAATGCCGATGCATTACCAGCCGAACTATTCAAGACCGGTGGTCACATGCTGGTCAGGAGCATGCACCAGCTGATTAGTAGAATTTGACTAGAGGAATGCATGTCTAATGATTGTAATGCCAGTATCCTATATCTCGTGCGCTAAAAAGGAGACAAGACGATATGTAACAACTATAGATGAATATGTCTCCTTCCCATCACATATAAACGACTGAAACCGATGGTCAATGACATTATTTGACCATACCTGGCAAATCCACCATTTACCAGATTTTCACTCTGCGACAAACCCTGGAAAAGACCCACGAAAAACACATGAACGCATACTACCTATTCGTCGACTACAAAGTCCCATTCGAGGTGGTGTTTCGTTCGGAGGTGTTTAAAGCCATGTCTCCGTTTGGCATTCCTGCAATATTAATACGTCTATGGTGGATAACTGATAACTGGTACAAGGTCAGCAGTTAAAGTCGGAAAGATCCTCTCGGAGCCCAAGGACTCATAAACAAAACTAATAACATCAGCTTTGAGTAGTGAATATAACAAATGCTCCTATGGTCTGAGTAAGCAACTCAAAAGCAAGGCCACCTCTAGCCAGACCAAACTCAAACTATACAATACGCTAATATTATCTGAAGCATGGGTACTGGCGCAAGCAGATGAGGGAGCTCTTGGAGTGTTTGAGAGAAAAATTCCCCGGAAGATCTATGGGACGATCTGCGTCGCCGGTGATTATCGTCGTCGAATGAACTATGAGCTTTACCATCTATTCTCGGACAACGACATAGTCAGACGTATCGAGCTGCAGCGACTACGTTGGCTAGGCCATGTTGTGAGAATGGATGAAGATGTCCACACTCAAAAGGCATTTAAAAGCGAGCCAGGTGATGGTTCACGCAAAAGTGCAAGGCCACGAATTCGATGGAAAGATCAAGTAGAATAGTAAGGGGGAGGTATTGTTTGCTTTATTATAGAAACGGCACATCTAATTTTTAAATCTACTTTAAAGAGATAATTTACAAAGGTTACTTTAAATTACTTTTTCACATAAAATGGTTCATATTTATTAATTTCCGAATTTATTTCGAAAAAGCCAGACTTCTTAGCTTTTATATAACACAAATTTTATTACAATACCACTAGTAATTCAAAAGTTATGGAACAAATATCAGAACATTAAATTATTTGCTGTGTGTGTTGTAATTATACCCTACACAACTATGTTGTCAGGGTATTATAGCTTTGTGCAGCCCCAAAAGTTTGTAACGCCGCGAAATATTGGTCCTAGACCCACCTTTAAGTATACCGATCGTCATATCTCGACTAGCTGAGTCGATCTAGACATGTGTGTCCGTCCGTCTGTCCATTATAATTTGTAAACACGATACAGGCCACAGTTATGGACCAATCTTCACGAAATTTTGCATGTAGGATGGGTTCTGGCCAATGACGACCCCTATTGTTTTTGGGAAAGATCGGTTAATATTTAGGGGATGAAATGGACCAAATACTAATTTTTTGTCGGTTTTTCTGGTCGCTCCACAGGCCGCAATAATGGCCCGAACATCGTGAAATTTTGCATGGCGAAGGGTGTCGGGCCAAAGAATAAGCATGCCTGTTTTGATAAAGATCGGTCAATATTTAGCGGGTAAAATGGACCCTGACTTTTGTGTGAAAAATGACAAAATTTTTATTCTATAGCGTATATATTTACCCCTGAAGGACATAGACCCGAAAAGTTGATATTATATCCAAGAGGAGTGGTTGACCTTTAAATTAAGACTAAATATATTGTTGCATGTGCTCTGATGTGGGAGTTACACCTAAATATTTACAAGTATCTCCGTATTTGTATGTTATTTAGTAACCCATTATCACTCTAGAGAGCCGAACATAGCGCCGATCGCTTTGAATTGTTTCATGAGGTTCCAGTTATGGTCAAGGACAACGCCTATAATTTTCGGTGATGATCAGATAATAATTTTGGAATGAAGTGGACCGAAAACTTAATTTTTTGTGTAAAGTGAAGGGAATCTGGACAATAACTGTACTGAATACTCGTAATATTCGGAAAATTTGTCAGTGTGAGGAAGAGGTGCTGTTTACCTCTAATCGGGCAAGAGTGTGCAAATATCACGAAATATTGCCTCGGAATACACATCCGTAGAAAATTTGGGTTCAGTGGTAGTTGTGTAGGGTATCGTATGGTCGGCCCCGTCCGACTATACTGCTCCGCTCACTGGTTAGATAGATTTTCTATCGAATAAGAATCTTTGAATTTTACGTACAACAATACTGACATATAAAATAAATTGGTTGTGGGTCGGAAACAAATTAAACCGATATTTTAAAACCGCTGCTCAAAGGTGCCCCCTACTATTTCCCTACTATTCGTACAAATTCAAACCTCCAAATATCTCCATAGCTCAATCCTACACTTCAACAGTAATCTAAAAAATTAACATAATCTAAAATCTCAGGATTTCAGCACTATCTATTCAATCAAATTCAAATTGTACTAAATTTAGTACCATTTAATACTTTTTATACTCATAAGCAAGAATTTCTACATCAATCCTACATCCTAACAGTAATTATAATTTCACCAAAGCCCAATTGTACCAAATTTAATACTTTTCATACGCATAAGTACGAATCTCCAAAACTACCTCAATCCTGCTTTCAAATAGTACTCGTAAGTCCAAATTTAGGAATTCCATTCACCAACATTCAAATTTAGTACCATTTATTAATTTTCGTGGACATAAGTACGATTTTCCAAAGCTCCTCCAATTTTACACCCAAAATAAATTTTAATCAAAATTTTCAGGATCCCAGCCCTATCCGTTCATATAGATCCAAACTGTACCATATTTAGTACTTTTCAAATATATAAGATCGAATTTCCAACACTACTTCAATCCTGTACTCTAACAGTTTTCCATCTCCATCCGTTCACTCAAAATTTAAATTGTATCAAATTTAGTACACATACTTACGAATTTGAAAAAATACCACCATATCTCAATCCTACATTTCAACACTAGTTTTAGCTCCAAATTTCTGGATTTCAGCCCTATTCGTTCACACAAAAACAAATTGTACAATATTTGGTACCATTTAGTACTTTTTGTTCCCATAAGTACGAATTTTCTAAACTACCTCAATATTACACTTCAACAGTAATTGTAGTTCCAAAATTCTGAAGTCCTGCTCTATCCGTTTAAACATAATCAATTTGTACCAAATACAGTACCATTTAGTACACATAAGTACTATACATCCATATTTCTATTCTACACTCCCATAGCAACCATTATCCCAAATTTTAAGTTTCTAGCTAGTGCCGTTTAATACTTTTCGTACACATAAATACGAATTTCGAAGGCTGTCTATATAGCTCAATCTTCAACACTAATCTTAATTCCAAATTACAGGTTTTCAACTCTATTCGATCACCCAAAATACAAATAGTACTATATTTAGAACCATTATCTACATTGAAGCTACCTCAATCATGTACGAATGGAATATTGCGATATGTTCAGCTCACGAGCCATTTTTCAGCCACTGCGACGCGGGTTTCAATCAAGTCGCTTCTTTACTTTTCGAACCACTTTTGCTGATGTAGCTGTTTTCTTCCGTCCACTTCCTTGACGTCGGGCTACGCTACCAGCCAAATATAAAGAAATCACACTATCACGCTTGAGTTCCATCACGAATAACTTTTTTCTTGGAAAATGCTCACCAAAATGCTTTTGTACGCTTGTAAACAATATAATGAGCTGCTACTGAAATAATTTTAACAGCTGTCAGACGAGTGGCTTAGAAATTACAGCAGTCTGAAGTTGGTACCAAATTTAGTTCCATTTAGTACTTTTCATAAACATATGTACGAATTTCTAAAAGCGTTTCCATACATCAACACTTCCCAACCTGTATTGTATATAAAATTATAACTAAATTTAGTACTTTTCGTACGACTTTAAATCGAATTTCCAAAAATCCTTTTGTACATCTTTCGAACTTTCCATCAGTGACGCACAATCTAAATTTCAGAATTCTAGCTCTTCCCGTTTGCCTAATACAAAGGATACCATATTTATAAAACCTAGCCTTATCTCACGCCAACACGCCAACAATAACCCACATTCAAAGTTTCAAGTTCCTAACTTCAGCCGTTTCGTATGGGCGATGACCTGTAAGTCTGTCACTCACTCACTCAAAGCTAAGCCCTATAGACCCTATCTTGGAATTTAAAGTAGGTCTAGAAAAACGATTTCGATGAGACGATAAGGCCGGGGGAATCAAAATGTGGACATTTAATACCTTCTTCGATTACATTACGAATATCCTAATAGAACAAACATGATATACTGCTATTTTCGGCATAACATATTAAAAGGTAATTATGATAAAAATAGAATCCAGCGTATTTTGTTTTGTCTTCTCTTAGTTATTTCTAAATTTATTATAAAATTAAAACAATAAAACTACAATTAAAATGTTTTGAACTGAATATAAAAATAGAGATTTCCTGAATGTACAACTTACAATCTAGCGAGTATAGTAAAAAAAAAAATTATGTTAAAGGAAAAGAAACTTTTTTGAAAAGTTCATAATGTCTAGAAGACTATAACTGCCTAGAGGGAGTGGGAGAGATGTATTAGTTTAGAACTATAAATAAAGTATTAAGTACGTAATGTATTTTGTTTATAAACGTAATGGAAAATAAATAAAATAAATAATGTTATTTAAATATACATACATTTACAGCTAACACACATACACAAAATAACTTAAATACTGGGCTTATGGATTTAAAAAAACTTAATTTAATTTAAAAACTAGAGAGTTTGGACATGCAAATTTTGAAATTTCTAGAGAATATCTGTAGTAAACTATTTTTGATTTTCTCCATCAGAGGGAGAGAGAGGGACTTATTTCGCAAATTTTAGTATTTCTATTATAAAAATTCAATAGATTTTTTTCTAAAATCCTACCGATGAATAAGTTAGGTCCGACAATACTATTGAGTAATAATTAGGTAAATATTCAAATATAATTTAAAATACCAATACAACAAGTAGATCTCTCCCATTCTATCCATGTCCATCTTAAGATAATAAATATAACACTCTTAAAATTCTAAGCTTAACTAAAATGTGTCCGTAATTTTTCTCTTATACTACAATCGGGCAAATTGGATTCACAAAAATCCGTATCTATCGGCCTGGTGGACGGATTACATTTGTCATCATCCAAAATGACATCATGGTGGTCCAGACACATAACCGAACGTCTACGCACCGGTAATGGTGTATCAGGACTTTTACAAGTAACCGGGCAAAATTGCCATGGTCCTGTCAGCCAATGGGCAGGGCAAGGTGTGCTATTACATTTTTTCGTCTGGCGCAATGGTCGGGGATTTTTGGCAAATGCCCAACACAATTCAATATCGGGGGTTTCTGCAAAAAAATCAAAAATTCAAAATTTAGAAAAAACAATTCAAACTCGAGCTGTTCTCCAACGCCTTACCTCTTCCATTTTCATAGCAAATGGGTTCCCGATATTGTAAGCCACCACCACAGCTAACCGAGCAATGGGTCCAATCACTTAGTTTCCACAAATAGTGTTTGTTTGTGCTGGCATTTAGGGCTGGCAAGGTAAATTCATAGTAGACACCCTCATTGGGTTCATCGCCGCGGACAATGATCTATAAGCCCAAAGAAAGGGACATATTAATATTTATTATTCATAATTTTTAACTCCCAATTTACTCACATAAATAGCAATGGAATGTTCAATGGGTTGTGGTATCTTAATAATTTCCTGATCGTCTATTCGATCATAGAAACTCTCAGCACCGGCAATGAAAAACTCCCCCGGCATTGATATCAAACTGTCGCCGTTCAAATAAAAGGTGCTGCTATTAGCCTTGGCCACACTTAGAAAATGTGGTGAATTTCCCAATTCCTTGATAACGATATGACGTGCCTTTGCCGGTAATACAACAATTTCAACATAACCTTCTGTCACCTTAAGGGTCTCGTTGAAGACTGCTTTGACCGGTTTACACTGATCGCCATTGCCACCACAAATGCCACAACGATCCTCCTGCATATCCGAGTCAACAATCCAATCGCAACCAACTTTCTAAAGGAAATTTACATTTAGTAAGAATATCAAAAAGAGTTTTGTATCCACACTCACCCTGCATATGCCATCGATACACATATTATTGGTACCCAAAGTACAGGGTGTTCCATCCAACACCATATCACCCCAATTGGCTATGATCGTATCATCCACATCATTGCAGTAGAGTTTGCAAGGGTTTTCTGAAAAATAAAAGAATATTGGAATTTGAAACTTAGAGCTATCGATACATAGGAAACTCTCATAAAATCTGGAAATTTATATATAGAGTTGGCTGCATAAGGCAAGTTCGAAAACCCATCACAGTCGATGGCGGGTAATTGACTTCTTCGCAGAAAATGTACTGTATAGGTTCATGTTTTGAAGGGATCTCCATATACCGGTTCCGACCTATTCTAGCTATTTTCATGGTGAATTCCACCCCAAATTGGTATCCCGAGTTGTTGGGGGTTACAAAACTTCTTCGTACTGTGAAGATTTTAGGCACATTTTGCAATCGAAATGGCCGTGAATTGAGATTCCAGAATTTTGGTGGATAAAAACTTTCTTTGCAAAGATTTTCAATGTAGGTCCATTTTTATACCCTTCACCACACTGTGGTACAGGATATTATGTCTTTGTGCAGATAGACCCATGGTTCCTTGTGAGAATATTCATAGAATCACTTTCTGAATCGATTTATGCATGTTCGTCCGTCTGTGCATGTTAAATTGTAAACAAAGTACAGGTCGCATTTATGATCCGATTTGGATAGAATTTGGCACAGCTCATTTGTTTTGCCCAAGGATGAACCCTATTGAAATTTGTCATAGCGTACTGAATTTAGCTTATAATGATCTGTGCTAAGTTTCGTGAAAATCGGTTCAGATTTCGTCAGATTTAATAGAAATAATGCACCAAAGTCCCTATATATCCTTCGATTTGCACGAAAGTTTGCATAGCGTACTAAATCGATTCTATATACTAATTTTTGTCAAAATCGATTCAGATTTAGATATAGCTCCCATATATATTTTCGTCCGATGCGATATTTCGAATCGCATAAAATTATACATATCATATTGAATTAAGTCTAGAATAATGGGTGGATGTTAAGTTCGTGAAAATCGGTTTAGATTTATATTTCGTCCGATTAAATGTCAATGGTGTACCAATGTCCCTGTATATCCTTCGATTTGTACAAAATTTGGCATAGCGTACTGAATTAAGTCTAAAATGATGTATGTTAATGTTTTTATTAATTTCTCTTTCGAGATGAGCTACATGATCGGAGTTGCAATGAAAAGGAAAGCCAGAGAGATACTACATTCCCACCACTATGCGACGCGTTTCGCCGTTGGTTAAGCGGCTCATCAGGCATATTGGGCAATGTGGCTTACAAATGTATTTACTTGATAAGTTGTATTTATGTCGACTATTGCTGCGAAATTCGGACATTTGGCATCACACCAGAACATTTCTTTTCAGAGCAGATTTTTCTTGTAGTGACGGACTTTTTTTTCCATACAGACTACAATATTTTTCTTCAATGGTATGCAACTGCATTGTGCAACCTTAGGAAGATAAGGAGGTGGCTTTGAACGCTAAGGCGCCGGACACCAACAGATGCCATGGAAACCAGGGTTCAAATCCCAGCCGGGCTCAAGCTGATGTATGTTAAGTTTCTTGAAAATCGGTTCAAATTATCTCATATATATTTTGTTCCGATTTGTTAGAATGATGTATGTTACGTTTCCTGATCATTTTCGTCCGATTTTATGAAAATAGTGCACCAAAGCCTTTATATATCTTTCGAATTGTACAAAATTTCGAGAAAATCGGTTCAGATTTAGATATAGTTCCGATATATATTTTCGCCCGATTTCAGTTAAATGGTGCACAAAAGTGCCTATATATGCTACGATTTCGACGAAATTTGGCACAGCGTACTGAATTTGTCCAGAATTATGTGTGCTAAGTTTCATGAAGATCGGTTCAGATTTCATATATATTTTCGTCCGATTTAAGGTAAATTGTGCACCAAAGCCCCTGTATATCTTTCGATTTGCAATTTTTCGATTTCGATTTGAAATTTGGAATAGCGTACTGAATTGAGTTCAGAATATGTGCTAAGTTTCGTAAAAATCGGTTCAGATTTAGATATAGCTCGCACATAAATTTTCGTATGATTTTAAGTAAATAGTATACCAAAACTCCTACATTTCTTTGGATTTGGACGAAATTTGGCATATCGCCGATGTTTTGGAATAGCACCCAGCACCCATATATCAGTACCGCGGTATTTTAAAGGTTTTAGTCGAATTATCCAATTAGAGCGGATTCTTTGCGGGGAAGACTTTGCTCGCATAAAATTTCCCAGACAATTGTCACATTTACGGTATGTTGAAGGACCTAGACGTATTTTTAGTAGCCATTTTCGGGATTTTAAAAGTTTTGGTCCAATTTTCCAATCAAAGCGAATTCTTGATGTTTAAAAGTCTTATTTGTAGACAACTTTCAATATAGGACAATTATTTGATATAGATCACATATAAATGTTCCTGCCATTTTAGGTCATATTTGAAGCGGAACCCCTTATTTGTAAAAAAGGACCATTTTTTGATATGCGTATTTCGAACATTTTCTTGGAAAATAAGTGCCCCATTTTGGTGCAGGGTAAAAAGTTCGCTTAAAAAGTTCGTTTTAACCACACAAGGCATCTAT